CAGTTGCAGGCATGGCCTCAGCTCAGACCTCACACAGCTCCCTAAGGGCTGTCTGTCCATCCATCCATGTAAACATCCCTCAGCCCACCCAGCCCCGAGACTGGATGAGTTGTCCATGCCAACTCAGAAGTCACCCACTTTGTGTCCATCAGGGTCTCTGGAGAGAGAGGGTGGAGAGAAAAAAAGTAATTGGAGACAAAGGCCAAGATTACAGGAGGGAAAAACCAGGAGGAGTCAGGGAGAGGAGAGCTGAGGCTGACATTTCTGTGGAAAACAGCAACTTGGGGGGTGAGATGTGGTGGGAGGAGGGGGGAGCGGCTCAGACAGACTCCAGATTTCTCTTCTCCTGTCAGAACAGGAAGAGCAAGGCGTCCCTGGAGAGCTACGCAGGAGCAGGGAAGCAGCAGGACAAGGAGCCGGCCAGGTGGCGAGGGGGGGAACTGGGACAGGCTGCCATTCCTGACCACTGGCACAGTCAGCAGTGTCTCCCAACAAGTGTGGGGGGCTGCCAGAGGAGGAAAACTGGACACCCCCATCCACACCCTCCCCCTCCACTTTGGCAGGGCACGTATTTACTGTGGCTGGGGTTGAAAGGGCCCGTTCCCATGACAGGGCGGTGCGGGCCAGGCAGGTTTATCCAGAGGAGGAGGGACTGGCAGGCTGCTCTCCCAGAGACGCCCCACATCACTCATTTTACAAGAGGGGAGAAGAATTTGACCGTCTGGCCAACATTCCTGGAGCAGACTACAAGACAAACCACCCCAGCAGCATTCCCCAAACAGCCCCAGCCCCAGCCTTGGGGAAGCGAGACGCTTGTCTGGGAAGAGCTGCAATTGCAGGCAGCTGTCGCTAATCCCAGGCAGAGCCGCGCGGCTCCGCGCAAGCACCACGCACAAAAACAGGGAACAAAATGCAAGGATGGGGAACAATGACTGGCTTGGTGGCTGGTGCCAGTGGTCCCTCTGTGGGCTGCTGGCTCGGTGACTCTGCTCCAGGGATGTCCCCACAGGCTGTCTGGAGGGAGTAGGCACCCCTGGGGTCTTCTGACCCCTCTGTAGTCCAGGGAGGTTTTGGGACAAGGGGTCTACAAATGCCAGAGGTTGGCAACAGCCCCCTGAAGATCCTAGTGTGCTCAGAGGGGTTCCAGTGCCTGAGCACGGCCAAAGATCAGCTCCAAAATGCCTTCCT